GTTGCTGTTTTTCAGGAAGCACCAACTAACAAACTTCTCTATGCCAAGGATATACCAACCTACAAAGAAGAAGTGAAATCTTATTACAAAGCAATCAGGGATTTGCCTCCATTGTCATCTTTAGAAATGGAAGAATTCTTAACTCAGGAATCTAAGGTATTACTAGAAAGCAGACATAAGCTTAGGATAATTTGGTTTCTTACAAAAAAAAAGGTCTTTTCAGAGCCTCTCAACAAGCTTTTCTTTTAGAAACATGAAAATGAATTTAATGAAGAAGTGGCCTTGACAGAAATCTACAAATACATCGTAAAATATTTTGATGAGGTAAGATTTTATTTATCATCTTTTTAACCTATGAGTCAGTCACAAGAATTTGGTTATAGAATACTTCAGGTCTCAGGACACCTCTGGCATCCCAAACAGACAGAAGGGGAGGCCACGAAGCCTGTCTGAGATGGGGGATCCTGGCGCGGAGCCAGACCCTGCACATGGCTGCCCCTCTTGTGGTTTATTATGCTGCCCACCTTTGGACCAGCCTGAATTTACATTTGCGATCATGGGGCCTAAAGCCATGCTGATTCAAGTAATCTTTGTTAAGTAAATTGTGACCCTATTAAATGGGGCCAGCTTATATGTTTGATTATAGCCTGCTAAAAATGAAAGCTAAATCTGTTAAATCATCTAGATTCTGTTTTCAATAGTTATATGAAATTATACTTCTAACTTAAAGCAACTATTGCAATAACAAATGTTCTAATTCAGGCTTTTTACAACCTTTAGTAGCAAACTACCATTCTCCTTTATGATTAATTCTCCTTAATCTGGATGCATTGTTTCCAAATATATGTTAATTCCCCCTTCCCTGATTCCCCCCCACTCAGTCATGCTGGGACAGGCTATCCATGTCAATGGTGAGAATAGCTCACCAATTCCATTTGCTACTTGAAGATCAAGTGAAGAGCTAAGGTAGGGTAGAGGCAATGAGTTCCTTAAACATGATAAGCATCCCTCTCCAGGGGCCAGGGGTGAGAAGGGAAAAGCACTGGGGAGGGGAGAAGGAGGGACAGCACTGCCCAGAAGGGGAGGGGAGGGATAGGGATGGAAGTATTCATCTCTGACCAGATGCCCTTGCCTGCTGCATTTAAGGAAGAATACTTGCCTGCATGCTGGCTGCCCAGGAATGCTTGCTGTGCTTGGAATGGCTGTGACATAATGCATAAAGCAGGGCCTTGGAAGTCTGGCCCCATATTTGTAAGCAAATAGTTGGTATTTCTTGTGGGCTTCTATATTAAGCTCAAGTGTTGTTGATCCTGTGGTAATGACTTAGCAAAACAACTTGCAAAGTGAGTATGGAAATGATCATAGAAAATGTTGGCATCTGTTTCATACAGATTTTACCACTCACAGGAATGCAAAAAAAAAAAAAAAAAGCCCACCCAAATTATAATGCTAAAACTATATCTAAAATAACTGTTCTAATTGTCAACAGATTCTAAATAAACTAGAAAGAGAACGAGGGCTGGAAGAAGCTCAGAAACAACTCTTGCATGTGAAAGTATTATTTGATGAAAAGAAGAAATGCAAGTGGATGTAAGCACTCTGGGGCCTGGCTTAATCTGGCAAAGTTCTTCAGACGACTTGGGAGCAAAATGGCTACTTAAGCTACTCTTTGTCGTGAATTTCTTAAGTTTGCACATAGGTTCCACTTTGAGCTCTATCTTTTAAGAGACCAAGGCACGTGCACAGCTTTTAGAAAGCATATCAACCACTGTGCCTGTGGGTATACCATGGGAACCTTTCTGTAAATAGAGTTAAAGTGGTTGTTGCAAACAGCCTCCTTGTTTACAGAGAATACAGGGCCAGTAAGCAAGTGTCAGTATTGTAACTACAGTCCCCACTCAAGCACAATGATATCTAAGTGGCTTTGTTGGAAACTACAGCTTTGTAGCACTTGTGACTACACTGCACTTCACAGAAAAGGGATACAACAATGCTCAAAACAAAATGTGAAATGAGTCATTTGGAAACAAGGTGGGGGTTTTAGGGCAACCTTGAGGATCTGCAGCACTGGAACATTCCCCAGTAGTTCTTGGAAAGGCTGAAGGCAGAATTTGGTAGTGTGTATACACTTAGCATTTGTGAGTGTGTGTGTTTAAACCAAAAACTAACAGTGTTGCAACATTGTTGAAAGGGCTCGTGTTTGTCAGTGGTTGCCAGCTGCACTCATCAGCTCACCTCCATTTCATCAAGGAGCTCTAAAGCAAGGAGAGTGAGTGGGTTTAATTGAAATGCAACAGCATTTTTTTTCCAGACATTGTCCTGATGTGTGTTTCTTTTTTACCTTTACATGTATCTGGTAGTGGACATGTTGGTTGGGTATTGTAGGAAGAGCTCATTGCTATACTTCTGTTTGATCAGAACTGTCTGTGAAAGTGTAAGTCACTCCTGTAATCCTACATTTCTATGCTAGTGTCTCCTTGCTTTAGATTTCTGGTGAACCCTGTGGTTATAAATACTTGTGTGTGGTTTAAAAAAAAAAGATACACTTTACATTTCATCAAATTGTTGTTCACATTGGAGTATTATATATAAATATATATATATTTGAGGCCCAAGGCCTAGAAAATATTAGTACAACTTGGTATCTTAGTCTTACTATGTACTTTCTGAAAGTATTCCTTACAGGAGAAAGAATTTAAAATACCCATTTTATTCATACCTTTTTTTTTTTTTCCAAAGAATTCCCATATCCAGTTATACTGTAGTCTTTTTTATTGCTGATTTTTTTATTCCTGAATTTTTGCTGCTCATGACCAATTTTAATACCACTGTGTTTTCCTTCTAGTAAACAGAAGTAAAAAGTGTAATTGGCAACTCTCAAGCTTTCCTCATGGCAGGCACCTTTAACCCTTGGTGCTCCAAATCACCAATCTACAAAGGAATTTTTTTTCAATTAGTAATAAAACATTAAGCACACATTCCTTAAAACCATTTACCAATACTGTATGGACCATCTAGAACAAAATGTGAATTTGTCTTGGTAAATACAAACAAACCTTTTTTGCTCCTTAATAGCTGATAAAAGTATAAGAGAGGTAACATCTCAACTGTTCAGTTACTGCCCTGGATAGGCACCTTCCCAATCCTGTCACTTGTGGCTTCTGTCTGTCCAATGGACACAAGTCAAAACTACTACCAAATAGTTTACTTTTAAATAGAAAGGTGAGAGGTCTGGTCCCCATCTAAAGCTGCTACAGTCTTCAAAGAGGTGAAGGCATTCATAAGAGAACAGTTGGAGGAGAGTTGAAGGCCAAGGGTAGGAGAGTTGCCCAAAAGACTTTCCCTTCTCTGGGTACAGAAAACTCAAAGGTTCAGCCACAGCTTTTTCTGAGTATTACTAAATGCTACACAAGGTGTCCCTGTCCAGCTCTCTGACATTAGTCCTGTGTGGAGAGTTACTGCCTCTTCCAGGAGTTAGGAACTTTGGGCAAGTCACTTACCTCTTTGTGCCTCAATTTCTGTATAATATTTCTAACCTACCTCACTGAGGTGGTATGAAGATTCACTAATGTATGTAGCGTGTTTGTCAATCCTCCAGTGAAAAGCACTATCTAGATAACATTTTGAATCACATTAGCCAAATGCAGAGAATGGCCAAATTAGATGTGTGCTGAAGACAATCAGTCACTGGGTCTATATTAAACAGCAACTAGAGAAACAAATGGCAAACAATATCTATTTTCAAGTTTCTTTGCATATTTTTTGGTGCAAAACAATTCATTTATAAACTTTTTTTTCTAACACTAGTGTCTACAGCAGCATTTAAAGATTACTTCTGTTACCTTTTCCGTATTAGGATTTAAAGTCTATTTCTTACTGTATACCTGATTGAAGCTGTTCTTGGAGATAAATGTTTTAAATGTCTATATCCAAAAAATAAACATTTTGATGTAACTGTGGACTGTTTGTCTTTTTATTATTTCCAATTTTCTAGTTATAATAGGTTTTTTATTCTAAGTGGCTCCATGGAAATTAACTTTCAGGAACATGGTGTTATTGTACAGTCTATAAAAAAGCAGCTCCATTAAGTAAACATAGGTCCTTGCTAAATGATGCTAAGGGCTTCTCAATTATGTTCCTGTCTTCAACTATCCACCTGGACTTTTGACTGTGAAGACTTCTGTATAATGAACAATCCATTGACTCTGGCAGACTTGAGCTTTGCTTTGTTGACATGAAATTATTCCAGCAGAATTCCTCTAAAAGATGCTACATCAAGAAGTTTCCAAATGTGCACAATGAAAAACAAAGTAAATACAACATAATTACTTGGTTAGATCCTAAGCAGTGGGAAACAAAACTAAATACCAGCAACACTTCCAGAGACCCCACTGGCTTCGCGTTTTACCATCAACAACCCCTTTTAAAAAACAGCCATAGGATTTAATTTCCTACAAATTCCAACTCAGTGGAGCCAAAAGAAGTGACACTATATTACATATATAGTATATAATTACTGAAATTAAACACAAAGCGATATCGATACAAAAATATTTATTAAGTTCTTTATAAATTAAGTGCACAGCTTTTAGAAAAGGTAAAGGCCTCCATAACGAACACACACACACACACATACATATATACTTAGATACTTGTAAGTTTTATGCTCGTTAAAATGGTCTTTTCCCAAAAACTTGAGGTTTATAATTTTTGAATATAGGAAACCAGACATTTACTGATCTTGTTACTGCCAAGCAAGTATCTCAAAGATTAGGAAAAAGGAATTCAAGATGGGCCTATTTCAGGCAAAATGACAGAAAAATTCAGAACAGTAAAAATTAATATAAAAACTTGATTCCTTTTATTTTTTTACATTTTCAAAGGATTGCCAATACATATTCTAATTAGCTCTGAAAATCTTTTAATGCTTCATTAGTATAGTCCTAAATTCTGGTACTCATGCAGTACAGCATGTAGCTGGTACCCTTTTGTGAGGCAGCTCATGGATTTTGGCAAACAGTAATAAAGTACCTCAATGCTACATGTTAAACTTCATGCTTTATCAAGTCTCTGACTTCACCCCTTTTGCTATAGTTGCCTTTCCTGCAACATCAATCTCCAGGAGTTCCAAGTTCCTCTAGCTGTTTCCTTTGTGTTGTTTCTAGTTCTTCCAGTCTTTTTCGAAGTAGAGAGAGTTCCCTTTGATGCTGTTCCTCCTTTAAAAATGGCACAGAAAAGCACAGTAAAAGAAACTGTTAGAAAAACTTGGAAAGTCACTGCCATCTGCCTTTCTTACACAGGCCTGCAACAATGTCCATTTTAGCAGTCTAAAACATAGCAGCATGGGTGAAATGACTATTCCTGTGTCTCTCCTGCCTCTGGCTCTAGCCTTAAGCAAAACCCACAGTCTATTCTTTCCTAGGTGTAAAATTCACTAGGGAGCAAATTAGAAAATGCTAAGGCAGGGCACAGGTATACAGATGATAGATGGCGACTTTCAAACAAAGACTGGAGTTTAATGGCAGTTTCTTAAAAACAAAGCACCTTGTCTAAGACTTATCCAGTGACAAATCTTCTGTGCCTATACTGTAAAACATAATTACTTAATAATAGTCCACGGCTTGTGAATACCATCCAATTTGATTCCTTCAATATCGCAGGGGTCTTATAGAGCAGAAAGAGCCTAGGTTTTGGAATCTAACCAATTTAGGTTTAAAGAAGCTTAACTCTCATTTATTCAGCTATGAACTTAAGTAAGTTACCTCTCACTGCCCTGACTCAGTTTCCTCATCTATGAATTAGGAATAGTAATAATACCTGCTCTCAAACCATTTTTGATTGGTATTAAAATAGTATGTTGAGCTGGGCATGGTGGCACATGCATTTAATCCCAGCATTCAGGAGGCAGAGGTAGGCGGATCTCTGTGAGCACAAGGCCAACCTGATCTACATAGTAAATAAATAGATGATAATAAATAAATAAATAAATAAATAAATAAAATAGTATGTTGAAAATGCAGTGTGTTGTATGAGTAAATTCTTGATAGGTTATTCAAAGACTCATTAATTCTGTTACTGACCTATTGCTAAATATGAGATTTTACTCCTAAGATATCTGTATCTCCATCACTAAGGGATAAGAGTAAATTTAAATTTACTTCTCAGAAACTGCTCTTAAATGGAAATAAGTTTTAGTTCTTTAAAGTGGTTTAAATTTTTTTTTTGACTTTTTCCTAAAATAAATGCTTATACCTGCAAATGAGGAGGAAAGGAAAGTTCCATGCCAGGAACCATGGCTGATGACTGAAAGCTAGAAGGATTGATAGATGCTGTTGGAGGCATGTTAGGGACCAAAATCAGACTTCGAAATTCATTATGTCTTCTCTGTATATCCTTTAGTCGTTTTTGAAGCCTTGTATAGTCTTCAAATGGAACATTTTGTCTTAAAAAGAAAAGGTATTTCTGTTCTTTAGTAATCATACCCAATTACAGAACAGTATGATTCAGAGAATATAATTTTTAATTGAGAGAAAGATTTCTAAATTATCAATCATACACACACACATACCCCACACCACACACACACACCCCACACCATACACATACATACACACACACACACACCCCAATCCATACGGATGAAAATCTACTTACCTAGAAAAATAAAGGGGAAAATGACATCACACTACCCTACCATTGTAGCTGAAGTTGGTATGGAATTGACTAGCCCAGCATGGCTTCACACCTCAGGTGTTGGGAATACAGTTGTTGAACACCATGCCTAGCTATTACATCTTAATCACATGTGATTATTAGCTTTGTGGATTATCAGTTAATTATAGTTTTATTTGTCAGTTAATCAAAGACTAAATATATTTTGGCACTTTTACTTTAATTTCCACTCTGAATCCAGAAACTAAAAGGTGATTCTAAACCACAAAAGTGCCTCATCTTACAGAAATAAAAAATTAAATGTTGGGTTAATGAATCTGCCATTTTTCTACATGAAATGTAGTCAAATATAGAGAGTTCCATATAATTCAATCTTATTTTGAACATGTAAATGTGATACTGATATAATTTAAAAAGTACAAATTTGGCCTCTGGTTCCTAACACATAGCTCCTCTTAGAATCTCAGAAATGAAAAGCAACTTTCGTACAAGTAATAAGATAATTAGTGGCTGAAGGACCCTATAAAATTTTAGAATGGAGCAAGTCACCAGAAAGGCCATGACATCATCACAAATTTAGAATTTTGATCCCCACCCTACCTCCACTTCTGGAAAGGGGGAGAACTGAAGGTTGAGTTGATCATCAGTGACCAATAATGTAATCAAACATGCCTATGTAACAAGGTTGTCATAAAACCCAAAAGGAAGGGCTGGTGCCGAGTAAGGTGGAGAGCAACTGAAGATAACACACTACATTGACCTGTCACCTCCACATGCACATGCACACACAGCATGCACACAAAACAAACAAAAAAACCCAAAGGACTATTTTAAGGAGCATTAGGTTTGCCAAATACATAGAGAAGCCTGGAGGGTGGTATTTGTTCAGGGCATAAACATTTCCTCATGGCTTTTACTTTATACTCGTCCATTTGGCTGCTCATCTATATCTACTGTAGTATCTTTTAAAAGAATTGGTAAGTAAAACTAGGGTGTGTACCTCAGTTTTGTGAGTCACTCTAGCAAAATAATGGAACCACGCTGAGGGTCATGAGAACCCTAATTTACAGTCTGTTGCTCAAAGGTACAGGTCATAAGCTGGGCTTTGTGACTAACATCTAGAGTGAAAGCAGTCTTGGACGGACCCTGTGGCAGTGTCAGTACTGAATTACAGGACACTCAGCCGGTGTACATTAGAGAACTGGCACTTGGTTTGTAGGGAAAACCTCCATACATCTGAGATCAAAATGTTGTGTTGATTGTGTGAGAAAAGAAAAAGCACTCTTGTTTTTTGTAATCCCTTATATGGTAGGTAATCAAAGGTGAAGCTACCAAACTTTAAGAAAAAAAAAAATCCAACTGGGGGGTGTGGGGGGAGGCTGGAGAAATGGCTCAGTGGCTAATAGCACTGGCTGCTCTTGCAAAGGACCAGGGTTTAGCTCCCAGCATCCACAAGGGCAGCTAACAACTGTCTGTAACTCCAGTTCCAGGGGATCCAATACCCTCTTTCTGTCCTCTGTGGGTACTGCACCACATGGGTGCACTTACGTACATGCAGGCAATATACCTGTACAAAAATAAAAATAAATAAGAAAAAAAATAACTTTGCAAGCTTTTACAAATCATATTCGTGGACATACTTTCCCAATAATTAGTCATAAGAATAATCAAATATCCAATATAGTATCAAAATCATTCAAAGGTGATCTGTGCTAGAGCTGCTCAGTCTTAAATGGATATTTCGACATTAAAAGTTATGAAAGAGTTGAATGTGTTTTATATTATGTGTTTGAATGTATGCAATTGTAGCCATGTCATGCAATGCCTGAAGAGGCCAGAAGAGGGCACTGAATTTCCTGGAACTGGAGTTATGGAAGTTAGCTGTCATGTTGGTGCTGGGAACCAAACCCAGGTCCTCTGCAAAAGCAGCCAGTACTCTTTAGCAGTTTAAGCATCTCTCTAGCCCCTTGAATGTGGTTTTAGAATAAAACTGATGACTTCCTATTTTAAGACAGATTATAAAGTTGGCAAGAATTCCCCATTGCAGAAATCTCTTAAGTGTTCTAAAAAACAACCGTTTACATTTTGTTCAAGAACACCAGTGCCCATCATAAAACACTGATGCATGATACAGGTAATTTTCATTACAGGAAAGTCTAATTCTTGATTAAATTTTCTAAGGCTACTACTAATTAACAATTCAAAAAGTTTTTTTATTACCTTAATTCAAATGGGTCATATAATGCCACTATCACCAACTTAATAGGGTAAATCTCTGCTCAAGAACAGTTATGATATTATCAGCTGTGTTCAAATGCACTTGCAAAACTAGAAGCTGAAGCCCAGTATTATTTTTCTATATTAGGAAACTCAAGACTAATATAAGATTCAAAGTTTTGTAGTCACAATGTTCAGACCTATGCAAATAGTCACAATTTTCTTACCTTAACAAGACATCATACCACTCCTAGATACCAAAACCAATGACTGGCCTTTTTGTTAAGCTCAACCATACTACAAAATACCTGGCATATGATAATCTTTTTGATTTGAGGGAATATTAAGTTAGAAAGAAAAAAATAAAAGTTAATGCATTAGGAGCTATCAAATAGTTTTAGAAATCTTGTAAATACTTTACAGGGAGGAGGAAAAAGGGTCTTTATTATACAGACATGGATGGCCTAGAATTTCTATGTAGACCAAGCTGGCCTCAAACTTACAGGGATCCACTTGCTTCTACCTCCCAAGTGCTGGGATTAAAGGAGTATACCAGGGTGGGAGAGATGGCTCAACAGTTAAGAGCACTGGCTACTCTTGCAGAGGAGCCAGGTTTGATTCTCAGCACTCACATGGTGGCTAACAACTGTCTGTAACTCCAGTTCCAGGGGATCCAAAGCCCTCTTTCGGCCTCCATGGACATTACACAACACAGGCACACTTACATACAGCCAATACACTCATACATATAAAATTTAAAAAATGAATAAAAAAAATACTTTTTTCAAAAAAGAATACACCAGTATGCTGGGCCATAAATATATGAAAGTAAAACAAAGTATGTAACACTTGGAAACCAAGTTCTGGGACTGGAGAGATGGCTCAGTAGTTAAGAGCACTTATTGCTCTTGTAGAGGACCTGGGTTGGGTTCCCAATACCAATATGGTTGCTTACAACTGCCTGTAACTCCAGTTCCAGGCGATTTGATATCCTCTTCCGGCATCTATGGGCTCCTGCCACACATGTGCACAGAAATTCATGCAGGTACACACATTATTAAAAAATACACATTATTAAAAAATAAGTAAATTTTTAAAAAGTTTTAAAAGAAACTAAGTTCTATATTACACAAACACATTACCTATTTAAAACCTGGTTTTCTGTCTCCAATTCTTCTTTCTTTGCTTCCAAGACTTCTACTTTCTCTTGCAGTCTCTTCAATTTGTTTTCATGAAGAGCTTTTCTCTAGAAAAAGAAAGATTAATATGAATAAGTATGTTAAAACAATTTCCTATTGGAACAAAACTATGGTAAATATTTAAGGCCTTTTTATTATGTTTATTTAGAGAGTGATGTTTTCAGTGACTACTAGGAATAAAGATTAGTCTACATGGCTCTTACTGAAAACTACAAAGACAATAAACTATAGATCTATCTCATATTCACAACATGACAAATAGTCTTATGAATGCCAAATCAGAAAATTAGTATCAATCAAATTATTGTAAATAAAAAAAATCTAGAAAGGGAAGGAATCAAATTTTACTGAGTATGCCTGTCATCTACAAAGGAAAGCATGAGCTCTTCACTATCTCTGGTGATACATATTTAAAAGATATGAAGTAGGGGCTGGAGAGACGGCTCAGTGGTTAAGAACACTGGCTGTTCTTGCAGAAGACCCGGGTTCAAATCCCAGTACCCACATGGCAGCTAACAACTGTCTGTAACTCCAGTTCCAGGGGATCAGACAGCCTCTTCTGTCCTCCATGGGCATTGCACAACATGGGTGCACTTACCTACATGTAGGCAATACATGTATACACATAAAATAAAAATATAAAAAATTAAAAAAGATATGAAGTAAAACAAAATTAAAAGCCTTTTTGTAGGTGATAAAATACTACCAAGGCAAAAAAATGAAAGGACCAGAAAGATAAGATGGCATTTACATCTCAATTTAAAAGAAGGCCTTTCTAAGTATTAAGAGGAAAATAAATTTAATTTTACAGTACAGAAAGAAAAAGTTGGGGGTTGAAGAGATGGCTCAGTGGTTAAGAGCACTGGCTGCTCTTGCAGAAGACCCTGCTTCAATTCCCAGCACTCTCAAGGCTGTTAACAACCATCCATAACTCCAGTTCCAGGGAGTCCAACACCCTCTTCTGATGTCCGTGGGCAGTGCATGACATGGGTGCACTTTACATACATGCAGGCAATACACGCGATACACAAAAAATAAAAATAAAACATTAAAAAAAGTTTCCACGAGAAAGCACAAAGCAAATGCTGCCATGACTGCCTCAAAGGTCAAGAACACGGCCATGACAGAGTATCCCTACCTTTCCCTCTTCTAACCATGAGCCCTCCATCTTCTGAAAGGGTAACCAACTCATTTATTTCCAAAGCTATAGTTCTGGATACCTTTGAATTTCACAAATGGAAATAGCTTTTTGCAAATGACTTGTTCTTTCACTCAACATGCTGTGAGAATACTCATTATTACTCGAAGGCATGGCTCATTCATTGCTGCATACTGCTCTCCACTTTGGACTACTGCAAAACTCATTATCTTCACCCAGTCCACTACCCATGGTCATTGAGGTTACTTCCAGTTGTGACAGAACTAGAAATAGCAGCATTCCAGAAGTAACTGCTATGGCTATCCTTAGCCTTTCTGCTGCAGGCCAGGCAGGGCAAAATTGTAAAACCCTGTCTCGAACAAAAACAAACAAATCCACGTATTTTTATGCTTGTTGATAGATTTGTTTATGTTTTATGCATATACAATCATGTTATCTATGAATGACAACATAGATATTTCCTCCTCTTCAGGCATTCATTTCTTTTTAAAAAATATTTTATTATTCTTATTTTATGTGTATGAGTATATTATCTGCATGTAAGTGTACCAGTGTTGTGCAGTGCCCACGGAGGTTGGAAGAGGAGGTCAGCTCCCCTGAAACTGGTGTTAGCTGGTTATTGACCATTGTTAGCTGCTATGTGGGTGTTGGGAATCAAACTTGGGTCCTCTGCAAGAGCAATCAGTGCTCTTAACTGCTGAGCCATCTCTCCAGCCTCCAGCCCCTACATAACATTAGAACCTCCAGGAACATAATGAAAATAATGAATAAATGTTAATGGTGGGTCTACTTGGATGAATGGAGGAAACATTTAATATTTAATCAGTAAGTATGAGTTAACTGCAGGATTTTTTTTGTAAATACCAATTATCAGATTGAAAATTTCCCCATATTACTAATTTGGTAATATGTTTTATTATGAAAAATACTGGATTTTCTCAAAAATTTTCTGTGTCCAATAAGATGAAAATATTCTTTCTTTGTTGTAAGGACACTGAATGATACTGATCCATTTTGCACATTAACTGGCCTTTAGTCCTAGAATGAACCTTAAATTCTCGAGACATATTATCATTTTAGTGTATCACTACATTTAGTTTGCAAATATTTACAATTTTCTTATCTGTTTAATAATGTAGTTTTTTTCTTACAATGATTGTGGCAGGTTTGAACCTCCTAAAAATTTATGAAATGTTCTTTTCACTTTCTATTACCTGGCAGAGTGCAAGGCTAATATTATTCCTTCCTTAATTATTTAGAAGAAGTTACCAACGAAGCCAAATGAAAAATTTTCTTTTTGGAAGGTTTTAATAAAAATTCCATTTCCTTATCTTTAATAGATATAAGACTCCAGATTTCTTAATTACTCTCATATTGGCTTTATTAAGATGTTCTTCAAGGAATGTATTAATTTCATCTAAAGTGCTTAATCAGCACAAGCATTTCTTATAATATCCTTAAATTTTACTATTGTTACAGTATGTTGTGATAGCCCTTTCATTAATGATACTCATTTGTGCTTATCTAGTCAACTGTCTGAGTTGTCCGAAAATAAGTCTTGCTACAGCATAACCAATTTTATCTTTTTAAATGTAATATTTCCATTTCAGCTTTCCACATTTGCTGAGTTTCACTGATTTCCCTTATCCAAGTGATTATTTATTAAATCTGTTTGTTAAAGGTTTAGGTACTGTGTTTTTAGTTCTAAACTTGCTTTGTAAAAATGCTATTCCTTTTTCTGGTGCAATCTCACACTTTTATTTCTAAGCATATGCAACATGTTACTTTAAAATCTATTTCTGATTACTTGGATCCCCCTCTGGAGGTGTTTATATTTGTTATTTCTCTTGGGTTTTGATGTCAGTTATTTCCTCATTATACTTGTTTTTTGTATTGTTTTACATTTGCATGTGTGTAAAGACCAGAGGAGAACATGTGGAAGCTGACACTCCCAGAAATCAAACTCAGGTAGTTAGGCTTGGCAGCAAGTACCTTTATACACTACACACTAAGCCATCTCACTGGCCCTGTTTGGAGCCCTTTTTTTCTATTTTTTGAATTTTATTTCTTACAGCAATTTAGGTTTACAGAAAAGCTAAACAAAAAATAGGTAATTTCCATATACTGCCTCATCCACTTGGCTTACTTTATTAACATTTTGCTTTGTTAGGTACATTACTTAAAATTGATGAACCAATATTGATATATTTTTATAACTAAAGTTTATAGTTTATATCAGGATTTATTCAGTGTACTGCATACTTCTATGGGTTTTGTACCAGATGTATACTATCCTATGTTCATCCATTACAGTATCATACAGCACAGTTTTATTGTCCTAAAACTTCCCTCTGCTCTATCTACCTAGTCATTCTTTCCTCCATCCTCAATCTCTAGTAAGCACTTATCTTTTCACTATCTTCATATGTTAGCCTTGTCTAAATTATATTTGGAATCAAAACTTCTTTCACCTAGCAATATGCATTTAAGGTTCTTCCATATCTTTGTATACGTTGAGGACTCACATCTTTGTATTGCTGATATTATACTGTGTGGATGCACCAGTTTTATCCATTTACCTACTAAAGGATGTGCTGGCTGTTTTAAAGTACCGGCATAAAGCAAGTATAAGTGGTTTTGTTTCAATTCTTCAAAATGAAAATTTTAAAATGATTTGAGTAAATACCTTGGAATGTGAGGGCTGGGTCACTCACACACACACACACACACACACACACACACACACACACACAGGGGGGGAGGGGGTAAGGCATAGATGAGTGTTTTGCCCTTGCAAGTCAGAGGCATTGTATCCCCTGGAGCTGGAGTCAGAGGTGGTTGTGAGCTGCCTACTGTCGGTGCTTGGAAACAAACTTGGGTTCTTTGAAATAATAGTTATCTATTTCTCCAGCCTTCATCCACAAATCTTAATTGAGGGACTGGAGAGATGGCTCAGAGGTTAAGAGTATGGCTTCTCTTCCAGAGGACCAGGTTCAATTCTCATCACCCACATGGCAGCTAACAACTGTCCCTAACTCCAGTTCCAGGAGATCTGATGATGCCTTCATCTGACATGGGTACACTTCCAGATGTGCAAGCAATACACTCATACACACAAATTTTTTTTAAAAAAAAGCATTATTATCAGTGTACAGGATACTGTGAACTTCCTCAAGATACAGTTTATGTGCAGTGGTACCCTCATCCATCATTATAAAAGCAAACAACTATTTACTAAGTACTGTTTTGCCAGGTGAGCACACACACACACACACACACACACACACACACACACACACACACACCCCTGTCCATGCACAGGGGTTGGCTGACAAAAAGATTCAATGAATGCCTTTAGCTCCATCATTACCATCCCCCCCACTCCCCTGACTCTTATTACCATGACTAAACCATATTCTGATTTTTCTTCAAATTTGCCTGGAAAACTCTGACCTTGGTTAAATACGATTCTCTTACATATTGTATGCCTGGACTCATGAAACTGAATATAGGTGACATACACACATAAATGATGTGATTGCTACCACTGTAATCTAATAACCACTAGTTTCAAATGGACCCCAGTGGTCTCTAAAAATCCTACTAAATTTCCTCAATCTAGTCACTTTTCCAATTTCCTGTTATTCTTTTGTATCTGTTTTTCCTCCAATCTCATCTTCATGCTATAAGATGACCTTTTTTCCCCCACTAAAATAATGAAGGAATATGGGGAAGATTAACACATCTCCACTCATCCACCAATTTTTAAAATGTACAGTTATTCATTATCTTTTTCCAGTTGTGAAAGATATATCATTTCCTATCTGTTATTTGTTCCACTAAGATTCATAGGTTAAAATCCTTGTCCCCATGAAGATAGGGACTTTT